AATGTTCTCCTAAACATATGGAACACTGATTATTTTTCTGTTGATCTTCTGATGCTAGATTCACTTTTGCAGGTTGCGAACTTGAAGTATTTCCCGGTTTACGCGATTTTTCTACGGCTTTAAGGGTCAGAAGTCTGGTGAGCAAAAATTCAATAAGTTTTTTCCAAGTCGGAGGGTCTTGAGAAGAGCCTAAATGAAGCTCCTAAGCCTTAATTGACTCGCAATCCAATTTTTGAACTGTTAGAAAAACGAAGAAATCATCTTGCATATCCACTGGACGACCGAGAGTTTCTAACGATCGATGAATTTGCATGACAGAAGTATATAAATTTTCCATTTCTCCAGATGATTCCTTTGTCATTCGTTTGAGTGTAATAAAGGAATACAAAGCTGAATTTACTAATAGTCGTTTATTTTCATAGACTGCGACTAAAGAATCCCATGCTTTCTGAAAGTTGTCATTTGTTAAAGTTGTATTTTTCAACAAATGAGCTGCAGTTCCTTTAAGACATTGTTTTAAATAGTGTAATTTCCATACGGGTGATAAAGATAAGTTTGATATTACCATAGAATCAAACAAATCTTTAAAGGGTAACCATTCTGAGGGAGCACCATCAAAACTAGGTAAATTTAAATAAGGCAAACGCGGACCGGAATGATTACTTGAGGGGAAAGTTGACACTTGTGAAACTGATTGAACTGAGGGGGAACGTGTATCCTTTTTTATGCGATGAAGCATCGAATCCATAGTCTCTAACGCCTCGAGATATGCTTCCTGCGTGACATTAAATAATTTTTCAGTGAAATACAGGCGTTAAAGAATGTAGTCCTTATCTCGAGAAGTTAATTGACGGACAGCAATTTTAATTGCGTCATTTTTCACAGTAAACTTATTCCACTCTTCTTGAAGGGCGGTTTTTCGCGTTTCAATACGATATGATCACACATTAGGCACACCAACACTCGTTAAATTTGCAACTGCACTAGATATAAAATCCATATGCGACACTTGATCTTCAAGATGATTCTTTATATGAGACACTCTCATTTTCAAAAAATGGTAATTAGTACCACTTACAATGTTAATTAAAACTTTCACTTTATATCCGGCTCGAAGGACCAAAAATGTTTGGAGAATATCAATTTATTTTAAGAAAGACCACAAAAAAATAAAACACACAAAATATCAGTTTATTGTTCTGTTATTAAAACAAATAGAATTAAAACATAAATTATACAATTTGAGCTTTTTTCAAAAGAACAAAGATAACCCTCTGGAAGGTCGATAATTGTCCCTTGCAGGGATAACTACACTCATAAGGGCCCACAAGGGAGAGACTTAGCACATTTTTACATAAAAGGGACCTTGCCAGAATGTAATGCACTTTTCTTTATTGTATAAATTCTATTTCAAGATTGAGATAGCAATATTGTAAGGAAAACTCAGAACTTATAAACGTACTTGATTGAGAATACTCTTGTAGGAGTTACAACTTTTGCGAGGAGTTAACTAGTACTTAGGCAAAAGCGAACTGAGCGGTCGATTTGAGAAAAAGGGCCTTATCCTTTACTCAGTGTACAAAATGTGAGAAAAGAGGGGGAAAAGCAAAGTTTTCTGTAATAATTTAGTTTCCGTGTTTTAGGAAGAAACTTGCAAACCTGATAAGATGCGCCCGCCAGGGTCGATCGCAGGCAATATCATAAAAAAGGGCTGCGCTCGGCTCTGGCCAGCACATGTTAACACATGTTTTGCAGTTTTCCATTGACTTTTGTTAGTTAGATTTATGTATAAAAAAAGAAAAGAGAAAGTTTCAAACACCGAGAGAAAATCGGTTTTTACTTAAACTTTTGAGTTTTCAAATTTATAACATTTAGAAAATTCGTAAGAGAATGATTTTTTGGCTTAATCTTTTAAATCTATCTTTAAACAGACATAAAACAATGTTTATAATTATGACATATATGTGATGACAGAATCCACGACTGATTAATTTTTCCACGACCAATATTATTTGTGCACCTTAACTTGAAATTTAAATGCTTCTGAGAATAAATTTAAAATTATTTTAACATTCTGCATATTGAAAAGAAGCGTTTAGAAAATAAATAAATTATATTTGACATAAAACAATGTTTATAATCATGACATATCTATAATGACAGATTCCACGACCGATTAATTTTTCCTCGACCAATATTATTTGTGCTCCTTAAATTGAAATTTAATATCTACTAAGGATTTATTTAAAACTATGTTAACATTCTATATGTTAAAAATTAGCTTTTAGAGAGTAAGTAAATTATATTAAACATAAAACAATGTTTATAATCATGACATATCTATAATGACAGATTCCACGACCGATTAATTTTTCCTCGACCAATATTATTTGTGCACCTTAATTTGAAATTTAATATCTACTAAGGATTTATTTAAAACTATGTTAACATTCTGTATGTTAAAAATTTGCTTTCAGAAAGTAAGTAAATTATATTGGACTCAAAAAATGTTTTAATCATGACATATCTATAATGGCAGATTCCACGACCGATTGAATCTTCCACGACCAACATTATTTTAGCATTATGAAACTAAATTTAAATAGCATCTGAGAACTTAATTACAATTATAATAACTTTTTGTATGTCTAAGCTTTGCAATCGAAAAATAAACAAATTATATTTAACATAAGACAATGTTTATAATCATGACATATCTGTGATGACAGATTCCACGACCGATTAATTTTTCCACGATCAATATTATTTGTGCACCATAAATTGTAATTTAATATCTACTAAGGATTTATTTAAAACTATGTTAACATTCTGTATGTTAAAAATTTGCTTTCAGAAAGTAAGTAAATTATATTGGACTCAAAAAATGTTTTAATCATGACATATCTATAATGGCAGATTCCACGACCAATTGAATCTTCCACGACCAATATTATTTGTGCACCTTAAATTGAAATTTAATATCTAATGAGGATTTATTTACAACTATTTTAACATTCTGTATGTTAAAAATTAGCTTTTAGAGAGTAAGTAAATTATATTAAACATAAAACAATGTTTATAATCATGACATATCTATAATGACAGATTCCACGACCGATTAATTTTTCCTCGACCAATCTTATTTGTGCACCTTAATTTGAAATTTAATATTTACTGAGGATTTATTTAAAACTAAGTTAACATTCTATATGTTAAAAATTAGCTTTCAGAAAGTAAGTAAATTATACTTGACTTAAAAAATGTTTTAATCATGACATATCTATAAAGGCAGATTCCACGACCAATTGAATCTTCCACGACCAACATTATTTTAGCATTATTAAAGTAAATTTAAATAGCTTCTGAGAACTTAATTACAATTATAATAACTTTTTGTATGTCTAAGCTTTGCAATCGAAAAATAAACAAATTATATTTAACATAAAACAATGTTTATAATCATGACATATCTGTGATGACAGATTCCACGACCGATTAATTTTTCCACGACCAATATTATTTGTGCACCTTAAATTGTAATTTAAATGCTTCTAAAAATAAATTTAAAATTATTTTAACATTCTGCATGTTGAAAAGAAGCGTTTAGAAAATAAATAAATTATATTAGACATAACACAATGTTTATAATTATGACATATCTATAATGACAGATTCCACGACCGATTAATTTTTCGTCGATCAATATTATTTGTGCACCTTAATTTGAAATTTAATATCTACTAAGGATTTATTTAAATATATGTTAATATTTTGTATGTTAAAAATTAGCTTTTAGAAAGTAAGTAAATTATATTTGACTTAAAAAATGTTGTAAATGTTTTTTCTTTATGTAGACTTAATAAAATTAATTAATTGATGATTGGTCATCTATGATTATGTTTTACGTTTTATTGTCAATGTGTTCTTGTGGTGTATTCCACTACCAGGGCGTATTTAATTATAGTAGGCGTAACACATGATAGTGGTGGGGTGGTAGTGGATTTGACAATTTGATACATAAACAGGACTGCGGTCGTTGAATCCACTAATTCATGCACAATGGCATTTTTTACGCGGTCGTGGAACCACACGTTACACATAAAGTTTTTCCACGACCGGCGTGGAACCTGCCACTGGTCGTGGTATCTGCCATTCCATGACAGGAATGGACGTGGAACCTGCCATTAGACATATATATATATATATATACTATATTATATTTCAAACATATTTTAGATATATTTTCATCATTCCCCATTCCTGAGGTATCTACTTCTGATGCACCCACTGTTGGAAGTATGTTGCCTACTGCTTCTTCAACCGAGAATAATTTCTTGGAAAAAAAAGATGATAAGAAGGGAAAGGCTTGTGGTGCTGCTGGATGCTTGGAAGCGCATTCCTAAAGACCGAAAATGGACATGCTACAACGAATTACAAGAATTATTTAAAAATAAATAACAAAAAAGGACTTTTTGTTTTAAACGATTTCCGAGTAATTTCCGATTAATTTTTCATAATATTGTCTGTTATATTGAATTCACCATTTTCATTGTTTGAAAACGGAGTTAGAATTCTTAATTTTTTTTTGTTTTCTTTTGTAAGGAAAAATGTGTTTAATAAATTAAATTTTATTTAATAAATGCAATTTTATGAACGAAATAGCTCATCGTTGTATTTTTAGCGCATAAGTGATGTCGTAAATTTTAAAAAATAGATACTAATTTAAAAAACAATAATAATGTAATTTGTAACGTAAACTTATTGGGATTAAATTAGAATTTTTATGTTTAAATGTCATTATCCTTTATTTATTATAATAAACTTTACTAAAAGTTTTTAAACCAAATAATTTTGAAGAGTACAAACGTTTAATTTTTTTTAGATACAAACACATAATTAGAAGTAATAATATAAATTAACAAAACATCACGCACAAAACATAAATTATACGATTTTTTTCTTCATCGTCGGAAGAATCAATAGAATAAAATGCGTGAAAAGAAAGTACTTGTGAATGTACTTATGCTACCTTATTATTAATGATAATAAACATTATTAACATTTTTTTAACAAAAAAAAATAAATAGTATAAACGTTTAATTATTATTACCGCGCATTAAAATGCGAAAACAAATGATAAAATTTTTTCTCGACCGTCGAAATAACTAATAGAAAAATGCGCAAAGAGAAAGTACTTGATTTAATCAGTTTGATATTTTAGCATTATTTTTATCACATTGTTGAAAAAATTTGCTTGTTCCTCGTCATTCAATAAATCCCATTCATGAAGAAATAAATTTCTTCAATTTATTTGTCCCTTCTCAACTGATTTTCCAAGACTTGCTTTTGTATAATCATACAACTGGTGAAACATGTGGTTACTTCATGCAAATCTTGTCTTGATGCTTTTAAAGTTTCGGCTATAGTAGTATTGTTTGTCATTGCCCTAGACTTTCGTCTGGCAAACCGATCCACTGGCGGGACAATCTTGGCTTTTTTTGCTACATCGTTTGTCGGAATATCCTGTACTCTAGAATGTTTTCGAGATAGTGATGGATCAACAAATGTTGATGAAAATGTCGACGCTTGCACTAAAGGTAATGCGATAGAACCAGCAGTAGAATTCGGTGAATATCGGTAAGAAGAGAATGGGGTAGAAAATTCTTGTGAAGTTGCATGAAACGCCCAAGGTTCTGATCTAGATGTAGAATTCAGAGGAAATGAAGCAGGTGATGATTGGTAACCAGGAGATAGCGCTTGCAATGGAGACAATTGGGCAGGACATTCTTGGCGAGTGACCGAACTCGGCGAAGGAACACTAGGTGCTGCTCGTAATAAAGAAAATGGCCCTGAATCCGTTCGAACCGTTGAAGGTACTTGGTGAGTGACAGAACTCGACAAAGGAACTTCAGGTGCTGCTCGCAATGAAGAAAAAAGCTTTGAATCCGTTCCAGAAACTGCCGATGTTTCCGTTGATGAAAGTTGCATTGGAGGCAATGGCGTAGAGCATTCTCGACGTAATGCAGAAATCGGTGATAATTGATGAGGAGAGAATGACGCTAAATTTTCATTTGGTGTAGGGTCGTCATCAATCGTAATAATCTCGTTATCATAGTTAAGAATGTCATAATCCATGTAATCTACCTCATCTTTAATGATATCTTCATTTTCAAAAGCATAGTTTTCTGCAATTCTCTCCATATCGTATGATGTGGAGGCGTATGATGTTGAGGCACCTGATGTTGAGGCACCTGATATTGAGTGTGTCTCCATACTTGCATGTAAATCAGGTAAATTCTGACAAGATGAATTTGACAGTTCGACCAAACTAACATCTGTAAAAAATGAATATTTGCTCTGGTTACAAATTGTGTTCATTTTTAAGAAAATAGGCCTAAGGTGTAGGGATTAAATTAATAAACAACAGTTTTTGGAATGAAACTCCATTGTTTACATAATGCTTTAATAATTTCATTAAATGTTATTAAAAATGTTTCAGAATTAAAATAATAAAAATCAGTAATACCGTGCAGATGTAATAAAAATTCAAATTCATGTTTTCTTAAACGATTTTAAAGTCACATTCAAAATTATAAAGCAATGATCAATATTTAGTTTATATTACAATGCAGAATTAGATATTTGTATAATTTTATTAAAGAATTTGGAAACAGTTTGAAAAATGTTATGCTTTGAAACCTGAGAAAATTTCTTTAAAAAAATGGGGAAATTACACACCTGGCACTGAAAGCTGAGAATGAACACTGCTACCTCCTTTTTGCATTTTACTGTGCTGAACTATGAATTGCATGTCGCCGTATAAATACCAGTTAACATTCAAATTTTTATAGTGTATATTAAATGATTTTCTCAACTGGCTCCATGGTTTTTGAGGATCTGTTGAGTGAAAGAAATTCTATATATATATATATATATTTATTTATAAAATTCTGACGAGAATTGAATTTAAAGAAATTTTTAATTCATGTTTCCTTTATAACAAATTAATTTTTTAAGAACTTCATTAAAATATTTAAAAATAATTTATTGTGTCATGAATTGCAATTGCAAATTTTGAACATTAAATTTTTGAAAAACATTAAAATATTAAAAATAATTTAAAGAGAAGTGAAGAATCTTATAGATAAAAAATTTCCAGAATAATTGATTTTTGAATAAGTTATAACATAACATTTTTGAAAATAATTGCATTTGAAGAGATTTCGAATGTGAAATTACGTAAAATAATGCTTCAATTATGAAAACTTTTTTTACAAAACAATTTAATTGGCGAATAGTTTGAAATATAAATATTCAAAATAAAATTCTTTCAAGAAGATAAATTTTGTACTCAAGAAAATCATTTTTTTTTAAATTTTCTACAATAGAGAAAGTCGCATTTCATTGAAATATAAGCTGAAAAAGTTCCATTTTAAAAAAAGATGTGAAAGCAAAAAAAAAGTTATACTATTTAAGATCTGAAAACTATTTGAAAATTACCGGATTGTTTTTTCAAATTCCTTATTTATTAACTCTCATTCACTTGCAATTTGACTCATTAATAAACAAGATCATCTACTGATCGGGCAACAAAACTTTTGTTTTGTTTTATTTTCTACTTTTTAAAACAAAAACCTCAAATTATCTAGCTTCTGTCTTTGTGATGAAAAAAGCCTTTCATTTTGTTTTGTTCTCCAGTTAATAACAAAGCAAAACAAAGTTTTGTACAGATTAAAACCATAGGTAATATTTGAAATTACTGATTTGTATAAAAAAAATTTTTAATTAAAAATACATAAATATAATAAACTACCTGGAATAGGAATTCCGCTATCTTTTAATAATTTAGCAATAAAAGCCCACGTGCGTTCAACACTTCCAGATTGGGATAATTGTTGCACGTGTTTGATGTACAAACCCGGATTTTGAAACACCATTTGCACTAGTAATTTGTCATTTTGCTCTCTAAGCAATTTGTCTCTGTTTTTAAACATGATTATTGAAAAATTTTAAATATTAAAATCACAACAAATCACGACAAAATCTTAAAAAAGTACCCTAAAAATACTCGCGTATCAAAATTAAATGCAATTGATTGTAATTATTGATATTTTAAATTTTGACTAAAATGTTTAAATCCGACATTTTATAATTGCAATTTACAATTGCTTTATTCTGACGTTAAATTTTTAATCAGACACCCCAAAAATACCCCTGAATAAATTTTTAGCAATTGGTTGCAGTTATTAGATTTATTCGATTTTATTGCCCCCAAAAATTGTTTTACTGATATTAGTTGTAATCAGCTAATAATTTTTGCAAAATTATGCTAAAATGTGACTAAATTATAAGTGATGTCGTATTATAGAAAGTTCAGAAGCAATTTATTGAAAAATGAACAATTTGAAAATTTTTGATTTTTCGAATTTTTTTTAAAAATGGCATATTTCCCGTTCTAATTAAATGTTTTCTCTTTATTGACATTTGAAATATACAGATTTCATTATTAAGTAAATAATTAAATAATAAGTGCAGTAACACCTCACAGATAACGGAGTACACCTTCAGGAGAAGAAAAGTAAGCCGCTAATGTGTCTCGCCGTTGATAAACATCGTCAGGACCAACGTATTCATTTTGAACGTTTCGGTTTCGAGCTGCACGAATTGCACCATCGCCTTCAGCGACCCGAACGGGAACATTGTAACGTTTGTTCTCTGGAGGGTTCATTAATTCGTAGGTGCGCACAAAATTGTGTAAGCATACTAATGCTTGAATGATGCTTATCGAATGCTTCAAGGAGAAATCAAGCCGGTCGTTCAAAACTTGAAATTTGTTGCCCCGAATTCCGAAGGCATCTTCGATGCAATTTCTTGCCCTAAACAACCTGCAATAAAAACAAAAATATTTTTTCGATTTAGTTGATATAATTTTTTTATCACATTAAAAACCATTATATTTTATTTTACATAAAGGAATACATAAATAAATACTTTTCCTTTATTTTGTCCTTACTTTTCTTTAAACTTCTATGAAGGATTGAAATTTCAAATTTAATTATCAATGATATTTTCCCTTACTAAACAAATTTCCTAAATTTTTCCTAACAACTGGCCACCTTGATTATGAATCAAAATAATTATAATTGCTGCGAAAAATAAATTTTTAAACTAATTTTTAGCAGGGAAACAATTTACGTTTCTATGGACAAAATTATGAAGTAAAAGAAAGAAATGAAGAATGATGCGGATTATTGAAAATAAATAAATTACCTTCTATTGAATGTAATTTCTTCAGGTGTTAGATGGACGTTTCTATTGTACGGAATCATGAAGTACGGCTTCATGTCAAAAATGGCATCTCCAATGAAAAAATATGGCATTCTGATGTTTGTTCGCGGAAGATTACTGGCTTCAGGAAGGTCGACTTCATTATTTTCAAGCGCATGATACAGTTGGGTTTCCCGAAAAGTCGACAAGTCGCTGCTAGTACCTAAGGAGTTAAAAAAATATATAATTATTGTAATGTAAGCAGCATTCATAAGTTAATAATTTTGATTGTATTTAAAATTTTTTTTACCAAAATCGCCTATGTTTACCCACGTAAAACGGTAAAAAGCATCACATATCGCCAGGACTTTGAAGCTTAAAAACTTTTTATAGTTATAGAACATACTGCCTGAGCGCGGAGGAGATCTAATTCTTATCTCTTTGCCGTCCAAAGCTGCTAAACAATTAGGAAAATTCCACCTTGTTTGGAAGCCCTAAGCGACAATAGATAGTTCCTCAGCAGATTTCCAAGCCAGATATATTTGCGACAACACTTCCCAAATTAGTGGGCAAACTTCGTGTATAATTGTGTAGGTGGTACTTTTACCCACGCGAAAAAGATTTGCCAAGGAGAACATACTGTCTCCGTGACCAAGGTAGCTGTAATACGACAATCAACTATTAACATTTTTACATTCCTTGAAATCACTATGAGAAACAATGACTTTATCCATAAAATGTTGCCAAATATTAAATAAAAATTTACGATATTTGGTAACTGTTTTCGTTAAAAAATTAAATATTCTTATAACAAATTGTGAATATATTCATGACTTCTACAAATGTTAATTTTCCCCGGAGAATATGATGCATCGAAAAAATTATACGAAAGTAGAAGACAATATGCATCAAGTGATGCACGTATAACTCATTATTTCTTGTTTAAAGATAAAGAGTAATAAATACATCAATTTTTGAATTTTTAAAATGATTTGGAAAAATGATTCACTTACTTTAATGTGAGCACAAGTCTTAATTCCCCACTGAGAGGTCTCCGCAAACTGGTTTTCAGGAGTCTTTCATACAATAAATTGTATAATACACGAAAACATTGAAGATCCATCCTGACCATATTGTAAAATTCTTCCGAGTCATTATTTGCAAAGTACAGGAACAACATTTCATAGGCTCCGTAATTGTCACGCATGAAATTAGTAATATGTGGCCTCACGTGCCACCGTCAATTGCCTCTTCTCTCTTCTTCCCGAGACCTCACTACTAATTCCATCAGATTTAGCCAGTGGTACATTATCACCACAATAAAAAAATATCGTAACATTTTTCTGTAAAAAAATATTAATTTAACTCTTATATTTAATGGGTCATTCTATTGTATGTTACCTAAAGTCTATTTTTAGAAAAATTAAATAAACCGTTAGAATGATTTTTAGTATAAGTACAATTTATTTTTGGCAATAATCTTATGTAACCTTCATTTTTAAATTGCAGTGAACCTTTAAAATCGTTTCTTCAAAAACATTTTAAAAATTCAATGATCATAAATCGTAGCTCGTTTTTAATATAAAAAATCGGACAAGTTCGAGTTACACTCGCACAGAAACCTAGGGTTTCGTACACACATCAGACAATCGCATCGTATAAAAAATTTTTATTTTTTGAAATTCAATTCTCAAAGTTCAAAAATTTTAATTTTTCGAAAAAGAATTATTTGAATTAACTTTTAATAGTCTTCAATATAATTTTATCAAAAATAACCCGTAAAAATACATCAGAATACCAAATTCTAGTCCGTTTGGTTGAAAATTTTAAAATTGAAATGAAAAGAGACCATTTCTGACAATAATTTACAAAAAAAAAATTTTCGAATAAATCGCCCGAACAGTCGTTCAACACTTGTTCCGAATGACTTAAAAAATAAGTTAAGTTTAAAAATTAATTGTCACGTAGTATTTTGGCTTGTTTTACACAATAATAAATAAATATTAGTAAATTATATTGCTTTCGAACAAAAATAAGTAAAAACATATCTATACCATCTGAATTATTTTTGTGCTCATTTATTATATTGGCATTGCTATAAAAAATCTTTTTTCCGCGTTAAACTGCAATTGAAAACCTAATTTCAACACGAAACATAAAAAGTGGTTTGTATTAACAGTTAATCTTATTTATTGTGTCTATTTTTTTACAAAAATTACAAGCATGTGGATTATTACTGAGAAAAAAGGTTTACATTTATAAAAATAAATAAGTACTCAAGAAGAACAAGTTTAACATTAAAATATTTATAGCTTGCTTACCTTAAAAAACGATGAGGCGGCAGCAGCAACAACAACAATAACGCGACTAATTATTTATCGTGTATTTACCGCATGAGCACATGAGCACATAACCACAATCACGAGATCGAGATCAGAAGAAATTTCTTTTTCATTTCTCAATCAGCGACAGTTGGCAACAACATGCGCGCGCATCCATCTCCAAGGGACTTGGACTTGGACTTGCTTTTGGAGGTATTGTAGAAGCTCCATGACACAACATACGCCTACATGCAAAAAAGTATAAACTAATAATTGAATTCCTTTGCATTTAAACAAATCGATTTGTATATATAAAGAATAGATTTGATTTAAATTTTAAGAATAAATAAAAATTAAAAAATTAAAAATTCATGTTTTAGCTAAAAAAATTTGTGTTTTTAGGGTTCCGTACTCGGTTCGGAACCCTATTAATATCGGTTTTTTTGAAATCGTGTACCACCCCCCTAGCGGCCACACAAATTTATCTGGATTGCTGAAAATTAGTACACATATGTATTTTCGCGTGTAGATTACAGGAAAAATATAGCGAACTTGATTGGAATTGATTAACATAGCGTTGTCAAGGAAAAACCATGAATTTTTACGAAAAATGCCTAAAAATGACTATGTACCCCCCCCCTAGCGGCCACATCTTTTGACATAAAGAGCTCAAATTTGGTACACTTACGTATTTTTACATGAAAATTACAGGAAAAATATAGCGAACTTGATTCGGATCAATTTACATAGCGTTGTCAAGGAAAAATCAAAAATTTCGAAAAAAATGATTTATTCTCCCTAGCGCACACAATATTCAACCCAAATTGTTCATATTTGCTGTAAAACTGTATTTTTGCGTGAAAAATACAGGGATAAAATGTAAGCACGATTGGAGTTGATGATCAATTTTTATCAAATTTTTGAAGAAAAATGATAAATTTAAGAAATAAATGTATTTTTCCGCAAAAAAGTTGATCTAAAGTGATTCAAATTTATATATTTTGACGTATTTTTACGTGTAGATTACAAAAAAAATATAGCGAGGATGATTGGAGTTGATTTTTCTGGGGCTGTCAAGAAAAAACTGATAACACAGGCCTGCATGGTTTTTTTATTTTTGATATTGAAGTCGTTCCCTATGTAATTTTGTGCGCTGAACACGAAAATGGCCCAGCACGTCAGAATTTTGAGAAAAGTGGGGGTAAAGAGCCCAAAAACCGTGTTTTTGGGTGTTTTCAAGAATTTTTTTCTCCTTAACCTGACGTGCTAGAAACTTCTACTAGGTCTTAAATTAAAGCTTAAAGTGTGCACTTTGAGACTTATATGCGCAAGTTAAAAAAAACTTAAGGGATTTTGAGAAAAGTGGGGGTAAAGAGCCTAAACAACGTGTTTTTGAGTGTTTTCGAGAATTTTTTTCTCCTTAACCTGACGTGCTAGAAACTTCTACTAGGTCTTAAATTAAAGCTTAAAGTGTGCACTTTGAGACTTATATGCGCAAGTTAAAAAAAACTTAAGGTATTTTGAGAAAAGTGGGGGTAAAGAGCCTAAACAACGTGTTTTTGAGTGTTTTCAAGAATTTTTTTCTCCTTAACCTGACGTGCTAGAAACTTCTACTAGGTCTTAAATTAAAGCTTAAAGTGTGCACTTTGAGACTTATATGCGCAAGTTAAAAAAAACTTAAGGTATTTTGAGAAAAGTGGGGGTAAAGAGCCTAAACAACGTGTTTTTGAGTGTTTTTTTTACTTGCGCATATGGGTCTTAAAGTGCACACTTTAAGCTTTAATTTAAGACCTAGTAGAAGTTTCTAGCACGTCAGGTTAAGGAGAAAAAAATTCTTGAAAACACCCAAAAACACGGTTTTTGGGCTCTTTACCCCCACTTTTCTCAAAATCCTGACGTGCTGGGCCATTTTGGGACACGGGATTGTGTTCAGCGCACAAAATTACATAGGAAACGACTTCAATATCAAAAATAAAAAAAAAAGTCGAATTTTGCAGGCCTGTGTAATTTTAGAAAAAATCATGAATTTTCTCCCAATAAAGGAAAATTTTTTTCTAAAGGTCTTCAAATTTACTATTTTTACGTATTTTTATGTGTAGATTATAGAAATAATTTAATAAACATGATTGAGTTTATTTTTTTAGTCGTTACAACTCTAAAATAAAAAAAATCGGACAAGTGCGAGTTACACTCGCACTGAAATCGAGGTTTCCGTACTCGAAGCGAACTTATTTGGTATAAAAACAAATGTTTAAAAAATATGTGTTGTATGGCAACTAATATAAGTGATACGAAGAGGAACAATTTTCTTGAATTTTACAAAATTGTTCCTTTTTGTATCACTTATTTTATTTGACATACAACACATTTTTTTTAAACATTTGTTTTTATACCAAATAAGTTCGCTTCGAGTACGGAACCCTCGATTTCAGTGCGAGTGTAACTCGCACTTGTTTTAAATTCAAGTTAATACATAAAATAATTAAACTCCTTACATTGAAACAAATCGATTCATATATATATATATAAAAAGTATATGTTACACCCAAACTGAATTAAAATTTTTTTAATTGTTCAAAATATTTAATTAACACAGATAACAAGTTTAAAAATTAAAAATAAATTTTATTTTTTAAATAAATAAAATAAAAAATTTTAATTTTTTAAAATTAATTTTTTTTCTTAAACTTCAATATTGCATGAGCAAAAAGCGTTTAAGAAATTGTTTTGTAGGACTAAAAGTAAAAAAGCTATGAGTAATTGAAAAAAAAGTTTGACTAATTTTTTAATGCAAATAAATTAATATAAGAAAAAAAAATTATTATATAATATAATATATTATAATATAATTAATATTGTTGTTATAATTATAATAAATTAAGGCATGTAATATTTAACAATTGTCATTTCATCCTTCATTGATACTGATCAAAATTAAGATAAATTTTATACAATAATAATAATATATTAATTTAAAACATAAATAATATATATAATATACATAAACTACAATAAGTAAACAATAATAAGTCCAACTATAAGCGAGCGAGCGAAGAATACATCGCTAGTATTTATTAAGACAAATTTGTGATCTGATTTCTAAAGTAAATAGTGTTGAAAACAGTAAAGTATAAACAACTTATATGTATGTATGCAAGTTCACGTCACTACTTAAGATAAATGTACTCTTTAAAGAATGTAAGGAAGAGAGGAAATAAAAAAAATGAATTTTTTTACATGTTGGTTTTTATTTATTTTTAAACCTTTATTTATTTATTACAAAAAAATTTACAATATATTACATATCTGACTTATTTACCCAACTATTATGCGAACTATCAAAACTTAGCCATTTAACAAATACTTTAGAGCCTTGTTTTTTCAGCACTTTTTCAGTTAAATAAATATCTGAATATTTACCTTTCGAAAGTTCCAGATATTGGCATATCTTGGTAATCTTTAAGAAGGTAAGTAACTGGTTCTGTATTATTTACGTCACTATTATTGAAAAATTTTTTTTTCTTTTAAAAATAGTAGTTATTAATTCTTTTTCATTTTTAGCAGTTACTTGTTTAGGTTTCATTTTAATAGTTCTATGTTTAGTATTATTATACTCATGTATTAAATTACTTAAAATGTCTATCCACTTATAATTACCACGAAAACTAAATTGCATCCACATTTTATTTTTTAAAGTTCGATTAAATTGTTCGCATATTGACGCTTTTAAATTACTATATGTAGAATACATATTAATATTATAAGTTTTCATAAGATTTTTAATATGTGAATTATAAAATTCTTTTCCGTGATCCACTTGTAAATTTTTTGGTACGCGTTTTCTTATAAGAACAGATTTCATTGCGGCAGCAACTTCTTCAC